AGGTTTCATTTTCTAATTTCTGTCATGTTGAAAATCTCCTAGCACATTATCAGTTTCTATGTTGATAATCCTATATAATTTCTAAAAAATCCTTTTGTAACTCTAGGCGGAGGAGTGTTTGAAACGAGAGAAGGATAGGGTTGCTCATTACCTACATTCTAGTAGCGAGCTGAAGTTGCTTGAGGTTTGTTCTTCCTCTTGTAAAGTCATACTAAATTTCTTTCCACCTAATAATAATTAGTCTTTTAATGGTTACTTCTTTTTTTATTTATTTATTTTGAGGCCAATTTTGAAGATATGCACTTTTGCAGTTATAATTATGGGTAATTTTGACTCCTTATTTCCATATAACTTTAAGTACTTATAACAGAAATTAGTATTTTTCCCTCCAAAATTCATTTAATTTTGTTATAGTCTTTCAAAATCTAAATAAGTTTAATTTGACTCCTTTTTGCACAATTTTGCTTATGTGTACATCTTGCGTTCTCATCATTTGATGACAGCATGAGCAAGGATCCTCTAGAGTGATTTTTCCCTAAAGTTTCCTAGAGTGCTACATTGTGTGGTTGAGATTTACTGACAAGTCACATCAATCTTTCTGATGTGACTTGCCAGTAAATCTCAACCACACAATGTAGCACTCTAGGAAACTTTAGGAAAATTTCACTCTAGAGGATCCTTGGTGTGACAGCATGCCTAACACACTGCTACTGTAGTTATTCAATTGTTTAGAATGTGACCCACATCACACAAATAAATTTACACCATATATTGAAATCATGAACCTTTTTTTTTTTTTTTAAAGTACATAGCATTTTTTTTTCTCATGTCCAACCCGCTCTTTTCCATTTAGTTTATGAAATTGCAAATTTTAATATATAGCATAAGGATGTGACCATGAGGCCTGCAGAAGAAACCCCAGAGATAACTCCAACTGTTGATGAAGCTGTGCTCTCACCAGTCAATCAAGACACTATCACTCCACTACCTTCTGAATCGGACACCATGGAACCCAAAGAAATGTTACTATCAGATGAAGAAAAAGAGAGGAACTCAGCAGAAGAAGAGAAGCTGGAGGAGTCGCCCATCGACGAGGAAGCTGCCCACAATTCCTCTGTTGTTCCAGCCGTCTCTATTGCTGTCCGCCAATTTGGTTGCTTTCTTCGTGAACTATCTCACAGTACTCAATCCGCTGCTGCTGTCGCTGCCTCAATTGCTGAGGTTTGTTGGCACATAGCGAAGGTATAGGTATAGTGGTTGCAAATTAAAACCACCCCCCAAAATAACATTCAAATTAACTGTCTAGTTTTGTTAATCACTCTGTTTTTAGTTTTTCTAGAGGGAATCTCTGAGTTCTATGGAAAATTATATAATATATTTTTCTCTTCCATGGAAACCAGGGCATCTCCAACACCATCCATGCGCAAAACGTACTTTTTCTAGATTTTTTTGTGTCTTTTATGATATTTATGTAATCTGATCTTTAATTGTTGAAGTGGGTTTTGTTTTGTGATTTTTTTTTTCAATTGTGTGGGTCATATTCATATACAATAAATACAGCTTTGTATAATATTGGCATTTGGCAGGGTCGGTGGTGATGTTAAGGAAGTTCTTCCCCCTGTTCTTGATTCTAGCTCTAACCCACCTCCTCTTTTTGATGGAACCACAAGGTTTGCTCGTTTTCAAAATCTCACTCTTACCTTTATCTCCATTACATGTGTATTTCTATTCTATTATATAAATTGCAGGTGTGAATGCTGTCACGCTTTTTCTTTTTGAATAATTTCTTTTCAATCTAGTAATTGTCACATCTAATAACTCTGTTCATCAAATCGTTAGAAAATGTGCTAATTAATTTTTCTCTTTCATCAAACTATCCGAGAATGTAAATATAAAATTATAAATGCATCTCACCGTTAGTTTGTATAATTTGTTGGGTAGTGTGAATCCTATAATTAATAGACACTAACCATTCAATTGCGAATTTCAACCATAAATTTGGAAGATGGCTATTATTATTATTTCCTCACTTATGACCTATTGTCTTAATTTTTAAAGAATATATAGTCGAGAGGAGACATTATCAATGAAATGACAACAGCCGTGGACATAACCTAGTTTTGGGGGTGACGTTTGTGTTCTTTGTGTCTGTGTGTGATTTATCATTTATGTGCATTTGTTCTTCTTTTCCATCTTAAATGTGTGTGATTTATTATCACTCTAGACCCTGCTGCAAAGTGGGTGCTTGTGCATTGGGTACATCCTTTTCGAGTTATGTATAGAACAGCTTTATATGACACATACATTTGTGAGTGGATTAAAATTTAGCCTACATTTTAGCAGAATATATTCGTGGTGCAATTTTGTGTGCTAAAACATCAAGACAGATGAAGCAAATGATTTGGTTATCAAATTCCACAGGACACACTATCAATGTCTGTACTTTGAATCATGCCAAGTTAATATGTTACTATCACTGTTTGAAATTTTTTGCTGGTTTTCAATTGGTATACATGTGTGTGTGTGTTTCACATTTGTGTGTGTTTCTGTGTGTTCTCATGCATTTTCTGATCACCATGTTCCATTTTTATTTCCTGAAGGTTGTACACCTCTTACATTTGTCCATATGCGCAGCATGTTTGGATTGCACGGAATTACAAGGTTGTGTTAAATTTTATGGATAATTTTTCTGCTCTACTATTTCTTTTCTTTTTCTTTTATTCATGTTACTGCAATTCTCGATTTGAAATTTCTTTACTTCTTTGTGCAGGGTCTGCAAGAGAAGATCAAATTAGTTCCTATTGATCTTCAAAATAGGCCAGATTGGTACAAGGAAAAAGTCTACCCACCAAATAAGGTTACATTCTCAACCATAATTAATTGTTCGGAAAATACTGTTTGGTAATTTCTGTGTTCCTCGTTCTCTTCTTAAAATTGCAGAAATTTATATCTATCAAATGAGGAAAAAATCACAAAATCTGTTGAGAGCCCTCTTGTTTCATGGATTATGATATTTGCAGATTCTTTTCTTTTTTCCTTTTCAAAATTAGTAGGTGCCATCACTGGAGCACAATAATGAAATTCGAGGAGAGAGTCTTGATTTGCTAAAATATATTGATAGCTACTTTGAAGGACCAGCTCTTTACCCTGATGTAAGTAGATTTTTCACTCTTGACATAAAATTCAACTCTCTATCGCTTCAAAAATTTGAATTCTAGAGCGTATCAAATGTCTGTAGGATCCCACCAAGAGAGAATTTGCTGAGGAGTTGCTATCCTACACAAGCACCTTTAATCTGGCCGTGATCACTTCACTGAAGGGAGGATCTGAAAATGAAATCAGTAAGATTCAAGACGTGCTATGTTTTTTTTTTTTTGAAGTACTATGATCTGAAAGAAATTTAACATTTTATATGAATCATAATCACTGCTGGAAATCAGGATTTTAGCGGCGTTTAAAACACGCCGCTAAAGGTACTAAAAACGTCGCTAATTCTTTTTGTGACGTTTAATACTAAACGTTGACGACGCGGCCGTCGCTATAACTTTATGACGTTTGAAAAACGTCGCTGCATCAGAATAGGCGGCGTTTTAAAAACGCCGCGAAATGTCCTACACTAACGGTACTGTGACGTCACTGTGATTTAGCAACGTTTTTAAAACGCTGTCATATGTTTTTAATTTTAAAAATTCCAACCTTTACAGTGGCATTTTAAAAACGCCGTGTTATCTTCTTTTTTCTTTTTTTTTGGAAATTGTGCTAATTTTTGTGATTGAACTAAAAGAACACCTGTAATAAAACTAAATAGTACTAATATGAAATAATAACTCCCATTCAAATAATAAATACAGCATCAATTCACTTTCTCATTCAATTTAATATCCAATTACCATTATCCACAAAACACATATCTAAAAATTGAATTTACAATTCTCAATAAAAAAAATACTACCTTACATACAAAGCCACAAAATAACATTACCCTCTTCTCTCTCTCACCACTCCCCCATTTAACACAAAATAAGAAAAAAGTGAACCAAAACACCCAACTCCCCAGTCTGATCAGAGGAAAAAAAGAACAAAGAAGAGAAATAAAAATCCAAAGGATTTTAACACAAAATAAGAAGAAAGGGAACCAAAACACCCAACCCTCATCCATCCTTCACCGTCATTCTGAATCTCTCTCCATGTTGCTTCCCATTGCCTTCAATCCTCTCGGTCTGCCAATCGTATTCTTGGCCTACAGTTCCAGCAAATGTAATGATGAATTGCCCTAGGTCAGAAATACTTCCTAAATAACTAATTAATTTGTGCTAGTTGCCAACTGTGCTGCATCAGATTGTAAATAAAGAGTAGGCAAACCAGAAACTAAAAATATGTGAGATGGGAATTTTTACAAAATATTTACATGGCGATTACACCCCCTAATGCTGATTTATCTTTTAACATTTACAAATTAAAAGAATATCAGAGGTTCATTGATTTATCTTCAAATCAACGATGTTAGACAAAATATTTACATCAATAATTTCAGTGAGCGAATTTTTACTCTATTGGTACACTTTTAACAGGGGTCTCCAAGGCAAAAAATTTTCTTCAAATATTGCAATATCGAAACAAATCATTTTATATCTCAAATGAACAGAGTATATACACTTATCAGCATGACGTCAAAATATTGAAAAGCACAATATAATGGTTTAGGAATTTTGAATTCATCTCTCTCTCTCTCTCTCTCTCATCCATTTTCATTAATGTAACACTATTTCAACCTTGAAACAGGGGTACCTCAAATGTAACATTTCTTTTTCTACACATAATGTAACACTATTTCATTAACCACTATAAGGAAACCTTAAATGATTTAGAGGCTTTGCACAGATCAGATTCAGAAAATGGAATGCTGATGGGAATAAAAGTTACATCAAAATTATATGTGAAAGGTGAAATCAACACAATCTACTACTTAACCAGATAACAAAGATGCTCAAGTGTAAAACCTTTCTAAATCCAGTAGTAACAACAGAGAATCTGTAGATAGAAGAGGCAGAGCACTGTAGAGGCAACAACATCTAGTCATAGCTGGACGAACTATCCTCAAAGTAGTGGATGCCAAGTACTAGAACTCAGAGATAGAGCCTGGAAAAACACAAGGATCAACGCAAACTAAGATAAAATAGTTCAGAAGAAGCATGCATACAAAACTAACTTACAGGGCATGCAAGATACTTCAAACAATGTGTATCTCTCAATACTTAACACTCACAAACCTAAGTCTTACATCACTCGACCCACCATCCCTAATAACAAAGACCAGCCAACCTACATAGACAAACAGTTAGGCAAAAAAACTGTACGGCTACATCACTCAACCCTCCAAGCTTACCACACTCAATCCTATTTAGGATCTCACATCACTTAATTGCGTTCCCTACAGTACAACCAGCCAACCTGCAATAAACTAAACTACAATAAACAATTAGTTATGAACTGGAAGCTCACCTCACTCAACCCACAATCTCACATCACTCATTCAAATGCTAGTAGTGTTATCCGCTGGCTGTGAAGTAGCAGTAGGCTTCTGGGGAGGCCCATTATTTGATCCCTGCCCCTGGCTCCGCACAGGACGAGGATTGTTGGTAGTCTCTCCGCCCCCAAACAAGTATTCTAATGAACTCTGCCCTCCACCAGTGCTAACTCCACGACCCACTTTCTTTGATTTTAGTTCTATTTCTTTATCCAGAAGATCAAGGCACTGGACATTATTTAGATGCAATGGCAACAACACAGTTTTGTAATATATTGTGGAGAGAGTCAAAATTCCATATAAGAAACTCTAATTCCTGAAAGAAAATGTCAAGAAATACAAGAAAGTAATGCATGCACATGGTGTGGACCCAGGGAAGCCAATTTTTAACCCATAAAACAAATGCAAACATTTGGAATATTCCTAGAGATATGCTTTCAGTTAATAGACTTTATCCACACAAGATATATGAAAACAAGTGTTAGTGATTCAGGCCCGGTTTGGTCGTAGCATCTTTACATGATCTTTCTTTCGACCTAATAATTCCAGATTTTGGGTTTTTTGGTCTTCTTGACCGTCATCTTTTGCAAGCTGTTGTATACCACTAAACCACAATTTATTGACTATATCAGTTTTTTTCCCTTCTCACTACTAAAAATTCTTGGATATGGACGCATTTTCACAATAAGAATTCATTACTCTAGTCTCTAGTACATATACTAGCACTTAGAAACAACAAGCATGACATGTCGTGAATAGACAAAAATCATTTCGATTGTGTAATTGACAAGGTGATCGAATAAAACACACATTTTGATTAGTTAAAAATGTGATGGAGATCCATCCAACTTGTATTTTTTTAAGATATAATTCTGCTATCACATTGCAAGAATAATTATTAAATTTTACTTAGTCACACATTATATGATTAACATGTATGCACAAATTAAAACATTTATATATATTTAAAACTAAAAAAATAAAAATAAAAAGATCATTCTATAGAAATAGAATCATATGTACCACAACAATCATAATCTGATTGTTAGATGAAATCTGTGGACCACTGCACTTAATTGAAAAGTTATAATATGTCAATCAATAGGAAAGAAAAAAATTATCAGATTGAATTCAATTAGGTCATTCAATTAACAAATAATAAATATCAGCCATATCTCGTTGTTCATATATGTTTTATGGGTTCAATGCACTTTATGGCTGGGAATTCTATCAACAATAGAAAGACAAATTTGAGTCCATTCTGTCCACTACACCAAATTATATAATCTATGTTTCAAAATTGCATATTAAAAATTTATGAGTAAAATTCATACACTGATCCCATTTATCCTTGTATTATGGATGTACATATTTTACTCTCAGAATCATGGTTTAGGAAATTTCTAAACTGCACTTACAGATAGAAGAATTGCGGTTACAGGGAAAATTCCTTTGAAGACACCTCAATCCAGAAGGCAGAACACTGAAAGCAGAGGAAGAATGCATATTATTGTAATAGTTTCCTTTAGTTGTCGAACAATCATAAAAATCTTTAGTGTTTCTTTAGTTATCAGACAATCATATCAAATCTAATACACAAGACCATTATAAAGAATGTAGAAAAGAAATAATGTATACTGAAACACAAAAACATAATTATATATAGTAAATTCCATTCAACTAGATATCTAGACTATAGGTAAGATCAATGAAATATTCCATATCTTCAAAACTAGAAAGGTGCCATCATCATTATTTCACATATATTTATGAGCACATATCAGCATCATAAAAAGTTAAAAAAAACTATTGCATTCAACAGCACTGTCACGTATGTTTGACTGCTCAAGCAGGTGCTAGTAACCAACTCATGTTGTTCAATGCTAAAACAATTTAACGGGAAAGAAACTAACTTTCATTTAGTGTTCTTTTACTGAATGTTCAGAATCGTATGTAATAAAAACAAAAGCATACAGCAGGGAGAGAATCACCTGTTGTTTGAACTTTCCACTGTGAAGTTATTGGCCACTAAATTACTGCATATTACACCCCAGAAAATCTCAATGTCAGTTTCAGTTCCAACACTTGGAAATCTTACCTCAGTGTGCTCAATAATGTGACCATTTTCATCTCGCAGCCTGAAATAGATTTATGAACCCATTCAATCAAATTTACATTTACAATTTACAAAAATATTTTCCCCAAACCAATCCATTTGATGGGACTTAAGGTTTGATTTGATTTAGTTTGGTTTGGTTATGTAATTTTTTTCCAAAATCCCACTAGGGGCAATTATTCCTTAAAAAAATACACTAAATTATTTTTTTACATTATCCTCAATTAGAAAATTTTAATGTGAGAAGCTTAATTGAAAATTGTTAGCTTTTTATATATTAAAAAAATAGAATTAGAAAATTTTAATGTGAGAAGCTTAATTGAAAATTGTTAGTTTTTTATATATTAAAAAAAACGAATTGAAAAAAAAAATTAGTAGAAGTTTTCACAACATATTAATGCATGTTATATAAAGTTATAATATTTTATGACAATAAATGTATGCCGTCTTAAGTACAAATATTGTACGACATATTTCTGTATGTCATGAAAATATACATTTTTTATAGTATACTTTCGCATACCATATAAAAATCAAATGGAATTTTTTTTTTTTTTTTTTTTTTTTTTTTTTTGCAAATCGTATGGCAGGAATGACATAATACGGAGCAGAAATAATAATGGAAAAAAGAGTAAAAATAAAGTGAAAGTAAAATTTAAAAAAAAAAGAAATAATAATAATAATAATATACACAAAAGAAACTAAAAGAAGAAATTAAAAACCTCTTAGCTTAGAATAATCTTACCTTTTCTGTAACCATGTTACTCTTTCCACTAAGAGGTTCAGGTGCCATCCAAGGTAAGGTTCTACAAACACCCCTTGACACTAAAGTGTGCTGTTTTACCTTTGATAAGCCAGGGTCACCAATCTGTATATGATACAATATTTGAATTTTTCCATCTTTTTTTGTTGTCATAAAGCCTTTCCATGAATTGAGAGTTCTGGCAGTCAACTTCTTTTTTTTTGGGGACCATGAACATGGCATTCCTAAAATACAGGATAATTACTTGTACTTGCGACTTTTGTTCCCTTTAGGTGTGTTTGAATTTTTGGAAATGGGAGTGTACTCTGCTTTGTTCTAAGAATGATCTTGCTTTACAAGCCTTGATTTTCTTCTCAACAATAGAGTTATTTTTCTTATCAAAACATTGAACAAGGAAATATGGTGCACAAGCAATATTCAATACTTAAATCCCACACAAAATGATGTGATACTAATTAATTTTAAAAGTGGGAAATTTGAATTTTTAATTACAAATTAGAAAATATGTAAGTATACAAAACTTATATTATTATTGATGAAAATCTCACCTTCAAGTTTTTTTGATTTTATTCATGACCTAGCCAAATATATGCAACTCCTTTGACAGCCCAAATAAGAAAAAATAAGAAATAACTTTCAAAATATGCCAAAACTTGTGGAACATATATTATATTTCCATTTCCTCCATCGGTCAGTGTATTTGTCTTTCGTAGTTGCTATATGGTTTATATCATAGGCTGTTTTGTTCATCAAACTTATTGGGCTCATTGACATAAAAGCTTTGTTAATCAATGATCTCACTTAGGACACTAATTAATAAGACTCAAAAAAAAAAAAAAAATGTCACACGGGCAAGCTTTCTTTTAAACTTTTACATGGGAACTCTACACCTGATTATTAGGAGAGTTAGAAAGCAAGAAATGCTAGAATGAGATTCCTAAAAAAGGCAAAATAATGGACTAGAAAGAGACAAAGCAGATATGATATTACCATGTTAGCAGATCACAGAGAGAGAGAGAGAGAGAGAGAAAACAGACCTAATCGAAGAGAGAGCAGATCTGCATCTCTTCATCATTGAGCTTCTACTCACTGTTTCCAACGATCCACATCCAACGCCACTTGCTTGTCCCGTAAATGATCAGAGACACTAACACCGCACTCGAAACCCTAGATAAATCGATTCACTATTGCTGCTGCTCAATTTGATGAAAGAGAAGAGTTTTCCATACAAGGACTAGAAAGAGTAAAGGAACAAAAACGAAAAGAGAAAACACAAAACAAAAGCAAAAGAAGCTGGAAATCAACTAAATCAAGAGAAAACAATTCCAAATCGTTGGTTTTGGCCATGAAATTTTATAGATCTTGTGTGAATGTAGCAAATCCATATCAGAAAACCCTAACCTTAAGCCCTAGATCGATTTAGATCATAGGGATTCAAACAATCTGGAAGATATATGCTGCAGAAATCCCTAACATTGAGCCCTAGATCGATTTAGATCTTAGGGCTTCGCGCAATCAGGAAGATATACGCTCAAATCAAGAGTAGAACAAGATTTTTCAGATCAAGCAACTGAAGAATTGATGGAGATCCAAGCTCCGATGCCTCGAAGATCCAAGGCCTCGATTTCTCTCTCTTCCTAAAGTCACGCCTCTGTTCAATGCCTCTGTTCAATCAAAATAAAATAGCCTTGAGCCACTGTTTAAAAAAAATAACCAGCGCACAAAACTAGATGTTTAGTTTAATTGTTTTTGAAATTTGAAAAATCTGGACAGATTTCACAACGTTTTCGAAAAACGTCATAAAAAAAACGTCGCTGTATCCTCTTTTTCTTGTAGTGACTGTGACCCGCTCTAATAAACCTTGACAGGTACTGCTTTTGATTACCTCGAATCAGCTCTCTTCAAATTTACTGATGGACCTTTCTTCCTTGGTTAGTTCAGTCTAGTAAGTTAGTTGCACTCCACTAATTTGATATTGGTTTTCCATCTTTACTGTTCTTATATTTAAAATTATTACGTATTACTTAAACTACAAATGCAGTTGTGTTATGCATTGTAGTCAAAGAAGTGCGAACTAATATATACTTTCCAAAAAGTTGGTGAATATATAGTCAATTTGTAAATTGTAATGGAACCCCTAATCTGTGTCAAAATTTCTATGTTGCAGGTCGACATAGCATATGCTCCATTCATAGAAAGATTTTATCCCTTATTGCTGGATGTAAAGAAATATGACATCACTGTAGGAAGAAATATTTTATCAATCCCCAATCTTTTTTATTTTTATGTCGTTATGATTTACCTTTTAATCATGATGAATGGATAAAACTGTTTCCCATTCATCCCTGAGGAATAGCCAATCTTTTTTATTAGTAACTTCTATGCTAAAACATGATTTTTGGATATATGTTAGTTTGTGGCTAATGTTAAAATATGTTTTTTGGATTTTGGAAATGTTATTTTGTGGGTAATGGTGATTGGATATTAATTGAATGAGATACTGAATTAATGACGTACACACAGACTCTTCTTCTGTCTCTCTATTGTTTTTGTTTTCTTCTTCTTTTTTTTTTTTTTCATATTTAAGGCTTTGAGGTGGGTTGCTTTCTGGAGGGTCTGCCATTGAAACAAAAAAATAAGCAAAGCCTCCGTTTGAAAAGGGGGTTAGCTTTTTAGTTTTTTGGTTTTTTGATTATTTTAGTCTGGACTATTTTAACCTGGTTTGGGAAGGATTTTTTAGCTTTTTTGACTTTTTTGGCTTTTTTTGTGAGAGAGAATTGTAATGATTATAGGTTGGATTTAATGTTTTATTTTTTGTGGCTAAAATAACATATTTTGTTTTTTGTGGCTATTTTAGCCAAAAAAAAGTCTGGCTTTTTTCTTTCCAAACGGAGCATTTTTTGACTTTTTAGATATTTTAGTCTAGGGTTAAAAAAGTCTTGTTTGGAAAAGATTTTTTTATTTTTTTTACTCTTGTGAGAGAAAAAATATAATAATTATGAATTGAATGTAATATTTTATCTTATTAAATTAAAAAATCTATTTTATATTTTTATGACTTAAATAACACCAAAAACACAACCCGACTTCCCAAATGAAGGCTTTTGACATGTTGACATATGGGGTGGAGCAAAGATCTTGGGTCATTTATTATCGTTGGTGTGCCAAGTAAGAATTGACCCATCGAGAGTGGAGTTGCCATTAAACGGTAAAAGATACAGTGCTCTCCGTCATTTTTCATTTGGAATAACAATATAAAAATAGAATCACATATCAGTAATTTATTACCAAAAAACACATCTTCTTTGATTTGTTATATCAATTGCAGACCAAATTAGATTGAACAGGACATTATTGCTAACTTAAAACACAACGAAATTTTTTTTAAAAAAATAGACATAATGGTAAAAAAAAAAGCAGTTGCAATGGTAGGTGACTGGTTCTTGATTGATTAATGTAATTGACTTCTCATATAACTCAGGCCATAGCGCCAAGACCTGCCTTAAGCTTTTGAATGGTAGCAACATCGGTCTTAAAAGACTTGGCAAGAATTCCATCATCAATCCCGGTAGCAAACAGAGTCACTGGAGCAGACACAGTTCCTGCATTTGCACTTCCGAATGCAGAGATAGCAGTGGCTTCTTTAGTGGCATCGGCATTGTATTGGTAGTGTACTAATCCCTTTGGAAACACAAACATGTCTCCAACCTGAAGCGTCTGAGTGTAGAGTTTGTTTGTAGTGTCAACAAAACCAACTTCCATACTACCTTCCACTAGGAAAAGAAGCTCCGCTGAGCGGGGATGGGTGTGCGGTGGGTTAACACCACCTGCTGGGAACTGAAGAACCGCCATCGACACGCTTTGGCCATTGAGAGCTGGGAATTCAGCCATGGTGGCTTTTGTGACCTTGAAGATTGGTGGGTTTGTCGAGTTAGCGGGGAGTCCGCGCATTCCGATGAAGGTGAAGAAGTTTCCATCAATTGGGTTGTTGAAAGTTGCAGGGACCATGAAGTCAGATAAAATATCTGGGTCACTGGCTTGAGCAGTATAGGAAGTGGCAAGGAAAGAGAGAAGGTAAAATAGAGCGTATTTGAACAAGATTGAGGAGGCCATTATTTGGAATAAGAGTTGTTTAAGAGTACTTTGTGAGAACGAGATTTTTTTTTTTTTTTTTTTTTTTTTTTTTTTTTTTGAGATGATTAGATTTGGTTTGAGAATGATCAATTTATAAGGAATGATTACCAAATGAGACAATCTGGTGATGAAGAGGTCCGGCAGGGTTTGATGGTCACAATGATTGACTCTTCAAGAAGTAACCCATTGGGATTCATGAGAGCTAACGCAAGAAGAGACGCTTGATAGTATCGATGGTAGTCAAAGATGCTTAGAAAATGATTAAAAGACTCAATTATTAGAACAATGGATTCATAACTGGAAACAAGAACAGGGTTTCCACATTTGCAATATAATTAAAAGAAGCTTGTCTTGAGATTAATCACTTGTTCAAACTTATTAGACCAGGGAAAATCAGGATTTGGATTTTAGGGCCAAACTAGGAGAATGAGATTTTCATATCAACTATGGTTTGTTCAAGTTAATTTGGTGCTTAAAATCATAATTTTAAATAAGACTTTTATATTTTTATTTAAAATTTATTTATCTCTGTTTTTGAATTGCTTTTGGTTTTAGATTTGACTTATGCAAATGAAATAATTATTTAGTAGTTTTGAAAAATCATATAATCAAAAGTAACACATAAATAATAATATATAATACTTTAAGAATATCTAATAATTTTTCCTATAAATATTATACGTGGCCTTAATTTTACCATATCCAATGTATCCGCACTTAAAATTGATGCATGGCAATAGGACATTTTAGATAATTAAATCAATAAATAACGGTGAACCCACAATTGCGACAACAGAAGTTTCCACATTAAACCACTTCAACAATCTTCAGTTTCTTGTAAAACATAAATAATAACAAAATCAAACACCAGCAATTACGAGGTTGCAATCATAGTTTCCAAGTTTTTTTGTCCGCCACTTAGGCCTGCAAGGGAAATTATTTAATATTTTTGAAATATCATGTGTATGTACTTCTCAATTAATTATTATTTAATATGTTCCTTCATATTTCTCAATTACCCAACATAATATCCAACTTACTCACCTTCTCTATCAATCATAATACTATAAAATCATTAATCAGTAAACAGTATAAGGGTTGTTACAGTTGCAATCATAGTTTCCAAGTTTTTTTGTCGGCCACTTAGGCCTGCAAGGGAAATTATTTAATATTTTTGAAATATCATGTGTATGTACTTCTCAATTAATTATTATTTAATATGTTCCTTCATATTTCTCAATTACCCAACATAATATCCAACTTACTCACCTTCTCTATCAATCATAATACTATAAAATATCACGTATCATGTTCCGGAATTACTAAATAATTACCGACCTGCAAAGCAAAGCAAAGCAAATCAACCCAAACCCTCATCAACTTTCACTCCCTATAAATATCTCACTCCTAACCCATAAATTCCAAGCACCCACAATCAAGTACATCTCTCTACTATCATAACTAATTAACAACACTACAGACACACACACACACACACTTCTAAAGATAATTAACATGGCATCAAGAGCTATTCTCCTCTTTGTAGCCTCATTTGCCATTGTAACCCAAGTGGCAATGTCTGGCGATCCAGACATACTTACAGACTTCATAGCCCCACCAAATGTAACCAACATTACCGGAACCTTCTTCACATTCACCGGTATGAGAGCACTCGACGGAGCACCCCTACCCACCACTTTTAAAGTTTCAAAAGCCAACATGGCCGAGCTACCCGCTCTCAACGGTCAGAGCGTCTCTTGCTTCAGTTCCCATCGGGTGCTGTCAACCCTCCTCACACTCACCCTCGCTCTGCTGAGCTTCTCATTGAATAATTGGCTTTCTTAATTGGAAAGGTACTATTGTATTGGCCAAAGTTTAGGACTTAGGCTGTACTTGTATTAGCCACATATTTATTAATTTTGTTGATTTTTATGGAAGAAGTGCGGTGGTTCAATTATATGGGTGTCAAATGCCATTATAAGTTGGCAAAATTTGAAGAAACATGAGGCTGGGTTGAAAACTAAATAAAAATACATTTATGGGCAAAGACAATTGATCTGAATGATTTTGCAAAAGTCACAATCAACTATAGGAGGCGAGCGGATCCTCTAGAGTAACTCTCTAGAGTGATCCTCTAGAGTGGATGATCCGACGGCTGTGGTTAAGCCTCACCAAAACGACGTCGTTTTGGTGAGGCTTAACCACAGCCGTCGGATCATCCACTCTAGAGGATCACTCTAGAGAGTTACTCTAGAGGATCCGCTCGCCTATAAGAGATAGGTATGAGTGTTTGTGGTACAAGTAGACGGACAAGCTGCCCTACGAATGAGTCGGCCCACACACCTTATGGAAAATGACTGTACCCACCACATAGAGCTTAATTTTAGTAACCAGCGATCTTCATTAAGAACTGTCGGGAGTAGTGGCTTAGTAGAAAAGACATCATTTTTTATAGGAGTGATTTAGGTTTGACTTATAGGGAGAACGAAATACTGGGTAATTTCAATGGTTTTCTACAGAAATCTCGCTTTGTACTTCAATCGAATCCTGGGCTCATTTATGGCATATGATTGAACTCCGTTGGTGCCTCGGTAGTGGGTCCCTTCCTATTGGTTAGGTTAAACCAGGTTGGCAACCGGTTACCTCAAGGCCTGAGCCCTTAGATACAGTGATGACATTTCAGAGTATACTTTTTCATGATTCCAAAAAAAAAAAAAATTCTCTTTCACTTCAGAACTAACTTTGTAAGGTATAGAGTAATAATTTTAAGGAAAAAAAGAGTTTTGACTCTTATAAGGAAATAATTCTGAATTTTCAATTTTCTTAATTTAAATTCTAAACTTTTAATTTGTTTTCAATATAAACTATTTGTATATTTTTGTTATGTAAAATCGATGAAAAATTGATACTTTAGTTATTAAATTCAATAAAAAATGATAATTTAGACATTATATATATATATATATATATTACGTTTAATATTAACTAAAATATTATTTTCAATCGATTTTAATTAATAAAAATAGGCCAAAATTTTATATTTAAAATAAATTAAAGTATTATAATTTAAAATGTCAAAATTAAAAATTCATGATTTATTTTATTTTAAGACTCAAATCTTAAGGTTTTTTTTTTATAATTGTCCATAATTTTAATTTACCCTTGAATTTAACTAGAAAAAATGACATGAGTATGAATCTGCCCCTATCGAAGCGGGACGGGCAAGGCCCATAATCCAACTGAAACTCATATACATTACGAGCAATTTTGAGAGTATCACACGGTCAGAAATGTGAAAATGGTCCGCAATTCGTGGAAGGTTCAAAATTCGCCCATAACTCGAGATAGGTCCGGTCCATTTGGGTTTAGGTTTGAGCCCAATCTGAGATTTTAGGCTAAGGCTTGGGCTATTATTTTAAAGCCCAATCCCTTCGTGAGCCCTTTTAAAGCCCACTTAAGGCTCAGTGTTTTTTTAGTAGAAAATAATAAAATTTTGGTAAAAAAAATTAAAAAAAATAAAAAAATTTGTTCAAGCCTACCCAAGCCTGAGCCCAACCTAGGCCCACTGGTCCAGCCCGACTCCGCACAAGGCCCGCATACCCCCTGGGCCTAGTCCTAATTTTCTGGCTTGTGAACCGGCCCGGCCCAAATTTTAACCGGTGCCCACGAGGCCCGACATGGCCCGGATTAGGCTTGGGCCTGAGCCCGGGTGGGCCGAGCCAAATTTACACCTCTACCCATCACACCAAATGATAAGGCTTGGTCTCATTTAGGAATAATTTAAGAATATATTATTTTAATAATTTTTTAATATGTTTTAAAAATATATATAAAAAAATTAAAAAAAATAATATGACAATTTATAATAATTTTTTATTTTTTTAAACTAAAATTGAAAATTGTCGAATGAGGTCAAGTGATGCCCAAAACATATAATGAATATTGTTGCTACTTCCAAACAATCCCTTAGGTATACAAACAAACAACTAGAAAAGGCCAAGCTTTACACCACGACCGAAAGCTGTGGTCCCACATAAATCTCTCAATAGGCTCCACTGTATTTATTAGGGCAGTCCGCTTGTGGCCGAAAAAATTTTAATTTGTTTAATGGATTAGAAAAACTTAATTCGTATCCGTTCATCGAATTCACAGACGCGGATTAAGCGAATTTATGAATAGATATGAATTGATTTAACGGTTTAAATTTTTATAAATTTTAAATATAATATAACAAATTATCAACATTATTTTTTATATAACAATTCAACTCAACATAATCAAAAGATTATCAAACAAATTGTCAAATACAAATAATAAATACTTATAAAAAAAACATACATTATCAAAGCTATTTTATTATTTTTTTTATTTAAAAACTATTTAATTTGATTTTTTTTTAAATGACAAAATTAAGCCTTATATTTTTCACATAAAAATATCAAATATCAACACTTACTATTTGATAAGAAGATTTCCAAATTAAAAACACAACAGAATATCTAAATTATTTTTCAATTGAAAATATAAACAAAATATCTAAATAAATTAAAAACATAAAATCTTACAAATTACTAGGGTGCTCGTGATTTGAAGGTACGATTGCGCTTAGAAGAATCTCAAATCCACCATTTATTCAAAACTAGACAAATTATAAAAAAAAATTATGTAATCATCCATTCATCGTCATGCATCTATTTAAAATACAAAAGATTAATTTAATTCAATCAATTTAAGCAAACCAAAATATTCGTTACTCATACCTAATCGTTACAGACTGGCCACCTTCAATTTTCCAAAATACAAGAAACCGATTCCCCACCCCCAACAATACGCGTGCGTGCGCACACAACATGTCAACATTAATAAATTAAAATTAATTTAAATAAAATGATACAAATTTTAATCCTATGTTAATAATAACTAACAAAATAAAGAATAATTTTGAGAATTTAATTATTTTTTATTGGTTATGTTTGATGGTGACGGTGATTGGAAAGTGGGAAAACAAAGAGAGAATTGATAGTCTCCGTTTGAAAAGTGGGTTGATTTTTTGACTT